AAAATGCTGAGCACAGTGGTTCACGCCTGTAATCCCAGCAATTTGGGAGGCCAAGGCGGGTGAATCACCTGAGGTCAAGAGTTTAAGACCAGCCTGACCAACATGGTGAAACTCATCTCTACTAAAAGTACAAAAAATTTTGCCAGCCATGATGGTGCATACCTGTATCCCAGCTACTTAGGAGGGTGAGGCAGGATAACTGCTGAAACCCAAGAGATGGAGGTTGCAGTGAGCTGACATCGTGCCATTGCACTGCAGCCTGGGTAACAAAAGCGAAAAATTGTCTCAAGGAAAAAAAAAAGAAAATGTAGGCTCAGCGGTCACTGCCACCACAAAACAATGCCATGCATGTGCATTCTTGGCTGCAACATTAAAACTGTCAGGGTGGGGTGAGGAAACAGGTACAATTAAGGAACAAGATGCTTACTACAGAAATTATGTAAATGTAAGAAGAGCTGGAGATAACGGGGTTCACGGGAAGAGAGATCACTAAATGCAGTAACCTGGCATGGCCTGATGAAAACCACGGAAGTATGGTGAAATCAAAGGACCCCTATGTACCTGAACAGTAAAGAGGGTCCCTGGTGGGGATGCTCATGGAAAAGTCTGTCGAGTGAGCTAAGAGGAAACTAAAGTCAAGTGTCATGTTGGCTTTGGGGCTGTTCTGGACTAGCAGAGCCAGAAGTCAGAAAAATGTGTTGTGGCCGGACGGGGTGGCTCACACCTGGAATCCCAGCACTCTGGGAGGCTGAAGCGGGGGGATCACCTGAGGTCGGGAGTTTGGGACCAGCCTGACCAACATGAAGAAACCCTCTCTCTACTAAAAATTAAAAAAATTAGCCAGGCGTGGTGGCACATGCCTGTAATCCCAGCTACTTGGGTGGCTGAGGCAGGAGAATCGCTCAAACTCAGAAGGAAGAGGATGTGGTGAGCCAAGATCACGCCACAGCACTCCAGCCTGGGCAACAAAGAGCGAAACTCTGTCTCAAAAAAAGAAAAGAAAAAAATGTATTGCAACGTAGGTCCATAAGATTACCATGTATTTGTTTCCGGACAGCATATCAGAACCAAGAATAATGGCTTCTTCCCTTCTACTTTTCAAAACTCATGTACCTTTCTCTTCTCATGAGCTTTAACTCAGAACCATAAACAGAAGGGACTCTGGGATATATAGTTTCTAACCTTATTAGGGCTGACAATATAATCAAGTAGAATAAGTTATATACCAACTTTCCTCTTCATGTCAAAAGGTCTTTCTTCTTAAGTGCAGTTTGTCCAATTTCCCACCAAGATCAAGGACAGTGAAAAAAGGTCAAAATATGACCAGAAACCAATTGAGAATGATGTCTTTCAAGAGTCTTCTATAAGGACTAATGTATCTGAGTTACACACAAGTGGTATCCACAAGGAACAAACAAATGTGGAAGACACATTTTTTTCTTTTTCTGGTACCTGGTATGTAGTTAGGAAGACACACTTTAAAATAATAAAGGCTGAGGGTGACTGGGCATGGAGACTCATGCCTGCAATCCCAGCACTTTGGGAGGCCAAGGCAAAAGGGCTGCCTGAGGCAGGAGTCTGATACCATCCTGGGCAACATAGCAAGACACTATCTCTACAAAATACAATTTTTAATTTTAACAAATGAAGGAAAAGGTAGATAGCGGGACAGCAAATTCCAGTACCTGCAGTGGTGGACTGGAAAAGAAACTTCAACAACGACAGTCTCACCATCACACACTGGAAACAACATGGAAAGTGGGGATCAGGCTGGGCACCGTGGTTCACACCTGTAATCACAGCATTTTGGGAGGCTGAGGTGGGCAGAATGACCTGATGTCAGGAGTTCGAGACTAACCCAGCCAGTATGGTGAAAACCCCTATGTACTAAAATTACAAAAACTAGCTGGGAGTGGCAGTGGGTGCCCATAATCCCAGCTACTTGGGAGGCTGAGGCACGAGAATCACTTGAACCAGCGAGGCAGAGGTTGCAGTGAGCTGAGACTGTGCCACTGCACTCCAGCCTGGGCAGTAGAGCAAGACTCCATCTCAAAAACAAACCAACAGGGCCGGGCGCGGTGGCTCAAGCCTGTAATCCCAGCACTTTGGGAGGCCGAGGCGGGTGGATCACGAGGTCAAGAGATCGAGACCATCCTGGTCAACACGGTGAAACCCCGTCT